AAAAAAGTGGAAAATTCCGGCCTGGCAACTTTAGCATGCGAAACGATGACTTCAGTGCAGAAGTGCTGGCGCTGCCAGCACTTTCAAGCTCCTCCTTATTGACCGCTCTCAAACGGACGGGTCGTCAAATATGCGCGTCGCGCGTACTACTACTACTACTACTACTATTATTATTATTGCTACTACTACTGCTAACTTTCATTTCTAGCTGTCTGCATATTTGGATGCATTTTGCTTGTTTGCTGGGACCTGGTTTTGATGACACAGAAACCATGAACAGTTTGCCCCGGGGTTCCTTGTAGTGACCTTCTATGTTCGTTTGAATGTGGGAAACCCTGAGCCCTCAATTTGTGCTTGAAGGTGCCCCAGCTTGTTTGGTGGACAGTGGGCGATCTCATCGGACGATTTCTGTACCTCTTGGCCTCTTATTTGACATCAGCATATGCAGGATGTCTTGGAACTAGGGGGCCTTCTCAGTTCCCTGGTGATGAGCATCCCGGTATTAAGTTAGCCAGGGCCAGAACTTCGTTTTGATCTTCAGTGATTGAGGGAATCTGAATGTCTCCTCGAGAGTGTTTTGTGTTTAGTTACAGGGGCTTGTTAAAATTAGGGTGCCTGTTTGGGTATGCTAGAGATTGGGTTCCGCATTATACATGGGACACAAACAGGTACCATAATGTTGTCAAGCCCAACAGACAAGATTTCCTTCTTTCATAATTAGATTCTGCTCTAGATCTTGGCTTGTGGTCTGAGTGATGCGCGAAGCATCGCAAAGCTGTGGCGTTGTTTGCGGATTCGGCATGGGAATTGCGGTGAAGTGGTAAATCTGAGACGCGAACAGTGCAAATCGTTTTTTGCACCCACTACCTTTGAGCCCCGCGCATTTCTTGTTCTGAGACATTGCAGATTCTCAGTCTGTCTTTATTGCGGAAAAAGCCGAGTTTACAATGGCAATGGGATGCCTTCCGCAGCTGATGCCCTTTGGCCTGCTTCAGGCTTTATGGTTTAGCAGGGCTGAGCGTCTAGCGAAGTGGGTGTTACTAATAGAGAGCCACGTATAGCCCTCAAAGTAAGGACCGAACATGTACCCGCGATTTTGAGTTGGTTCTTGATTGAGATGAGAACTGGATATTTTTGGTACCAACAGGCCTGTTCAAGTACGCAGACTCGCCCCGAAAAACATCCTCAAAAAGAGGATGCCGACTTTGCGGAAACTCCAATGCGATGAAGCCTGCAGAAGTTGAGGTTCAATGTGCCGCTGATGCTTCTGTCAAATCGGTTTGCCAGCGTGGAACAGCAGAAGTCGTTGAAATCCTCTAGCGTGAAGCTGGCTGCAAGAGATGTGGCCGCTCTGCTGAATCACAGCTATGCAGCTATGACCATGCTAGGTGGTAGCATGATTGCCCCAACACTAAATTAGGGTGGTCCAGACGGTGTTCGTTTGCACAATGCTTAGCCGGTACACGGTAGCAGTGCTGTAACGTCCTCTTCCGTGTTTTGTTGCCATGTCAGGTCATGTCGTACAAGGTGATCTATGTGCCGCTTGACCGCTTTCAGAAGCACGACCTCGTAGAGACCCCCTGTCAGATTTTCACCTGATATGTCGACATGAAGTAGGTCCCCTTTGAGCCCTTGAAGTATGGTCTAAATTTGTCAGGATGCTCAGCATTCCCCTCAAAGTTGGACGGTTGTCCGTGTCTCGTAACCCTTTCTCTTAATAAACTTTGGTCGCCGGCCTGCAGCATGTATGACCACTTCCGGGGATAGTTACTAGGAGCAGCCCTTACGGAAGCCCGGCGTGTCCCTTACACAACCCTTCGTCATCATTTAAAAACGGTTGCATACCCCTTTCACAAAGCTGAATAAGCTAAACCCAAAACCACATGTTCGAATCTCATAGCAGTGTCCATGTTCTTGTCCATTCCATATGTTCATGCATACCCTTATACAAGCCCATTCCACAGCTCCGCAAGGTTGACCTTTGTCCCAGTCCTGTACGCAGCTGGGCGGAAATCTAAAGGTCTAAGGGCCAAAGTGGGATGGGAGATTATCGCAAGATTGTTGTAGCCCTGGGAAGTAACAATCCTCATGGTATACATGCACCGAAGCCACTAAAGCATAGGACAGGTTATGGTGATGGAATGCGCTATGCCAGATGGAAGCCACGCGCCAGTTTCTATACCCTCCTACTCTACGTGCCGGGAAGTCAAGCATGATGCCAGAGTTCCTCCGTCCACACCATGGTACCAAGGTCATCTATGGGCTGCTGCTTTGGGTTTTCACCGACTGGTGCCTCACCTCCAGAATTCTTATACTGTGCCTGGGCTAAAATTCTCAGACCCTAAACCCTAAACCCCCTAACCCTAAACCCTAAACCTCCAGAATTATTATACTGCGTCTGGGCTGAAATTCTCGGAGGCCTCCGTAGATACCCCTAAGGCAAGCCATGGGTATGGTGTGGAAACTATTCTAACGGGTTACATAGGGATTATATATAGGGGTTATATCAGGGCTATAGTGGGGTGTTATATAGCGACAATGGAAAAGAAAATGGAAACTACTATCCCCTGAAATCCCTATTTCTTATCCATGTGTTTCTCCATTACTTGGGTTACATTATACCCCTAGTTTCTGGCCGTTGACAGATTCCGGTGATACCTTTCCAGGGTACCTCGCTCTTTGGGCCAGCCTACGAACGCCTGTTCGGCAAACACACCCGTAAAAGCAGGCAACATTCACAATCCCTCCAGTAGGGACGACTTCTGAAATCCGATGAATATCCCACACATGCCCCCTGAAGTGAGGAGGCTTTGTTTAAACTCATGTCAAGCCCCTCGTATAGTTCATGAGAGCGGCTTGGAGTTTAGGGTTTGGCGTTTAGGGTGTATAGGGTTTAGGGTTTCTGCGGCTTGCTCACAGCTCGAAATCTCCAAAGCCTTCTCATAGCTGAACACATCCAACTTTGCAAGGTGTGTGGACAGGTTGGATGTGGTCAGGGAGCCTATGTATGGAATATGCATGACGTTCCTCTGCAGTTTCGAGCGCTGCAGCGTTAAGCTAGAGTCTTACTCCGGTAGACTGTCAGAGGCCCGGTGGTACCAAAGGTTGTGCCTTAAGCTTTGCTTAGGTTCTGACTCCAGCCGGGGATTCTCGGCACGAAGCCTTACACTCGGAAGCCTAAGCCCCTGCACCCTTGGCTCCTACATCTTAAATCAAAGGCTCAGACTTGGTGTTCCTAAAGCATTCCGCTATTCTAGTTACACGGCCCAAAGCCTGAGAAAAGACAAGCATAAAGCCCTAAACTCAAGAAATTCGTAGGTTGAGTCTTTTCATACAACCTAGTACTCCCCAGTTCCTATTTCATTTTCCATTGTCGTTTCCATTATTGGGGCTATATCTCTCTATATATCCCTATATAATCTCCATACCATCCCTGTCTAATCCAGCTATAATCCCTACTATATCCCAAGCCCTAAGCCCTGAACCCTAAAAGTATCCGCTGAGGTTGAGTCTGCCCCTGTTTGCCTTCTGGGGCATGAAGGTAGCCCCGCATTTCAGAGTGGGCCGAAACCTGAAGTGACTGGAGTTACATAGGGGTTCACAGAATTAGAGGCACTATTGGGGGGTCCGAATTCAGGGATTACGGTGTTTTGGGGTCTATAATGAGGTCGTTCAGGTTATGGACTTACACTTACACATAGGGGCAGGAAGAAGAATGGGTCAGAAACTGGAAGCTAGTATGCTAATTGGTGATAGGGTTTAGGATTTTAGGGTTTAGGTTGGGTACTGCCCCAACACGTTGACAGTTGGAGAAGATTTATAGTATATCTATATAGCCCATTAACATGGTCCCTATGATAGACTGCCAACGGGCGTCCAAGGTGTAGGGTTTTAGGGTTGAGGATGTAGTATTCAGACGTCAGAGCTGTGTGTTTTGGGTCTAGCGCTTAGCATTTAAGGCCCAAGGCCGAGGGTCTGGTGTCTAGAGCTGGGTTCTGCAGATACTGGCCTATGGCGGCACATGGGATTTTTGGGGGTTAGGTTTTGGATGAAGGGCTGAGGCTAAAGGGACTTTGGATTTCAGGTCTGATGTGCCTAAACCCTAAACCCTAACCCTAAATCTACAGGGTTTTGCACTTCTGCAAGGGGACCCGGTGTTGGCATCCCTAGGGCCCCTGATGCTTAGGGTTTAGGGTTTAGTTTGGGATGTATGTATGATTGTGGTCTACCAGGGTTTAGGGTTTAGAGTTTAGGGCCTGTATTATGGGGTGCGCCTCCTTTCCCAAACTGCATTTATCTTTGTAGATATTGGATTCAAGCTTGCGGGATACGAGTTCAGAATGTTTAGGGTTGAGGGTGCGCAGTGTAAAGTTGAGAAGTTGAGGGTTCCGAGCTTTAAGTTTTCCATGAGTCATTATTTTTGGTCCTTTTTTGAGAAGATGTGGAAATCCGATATGTATCTACAAATGATACTTTGGCTTGATCTTGGAGGTTCTCACGTCTTTACATCCTGGACCGGTTAGGGACCACTATAGTCCTTGCATTGTCCCTTCTGAGAAGCTGACATCTGATGTACAACCTTGCATGATTTTACGCACAAGGCCAGGAAACCCAAAAGCTTACACCGTTTGTCCTAGATCCTAAAGTTTGTGGAACCTTAAACCCAAACTCAGCCAACCGTTTGGAGTGGAGGCCAGTGAGCAGGGCGTGAGAGCCTATGTGGACATCATGCCCCTCTTCAGGCAGTCAGGGGTTTAGGGTTTGGGGTTTATGGTATTGACAGGTCTGTGTTGTGACTGCTCTTCCGTCTCTGCCATGACGAAGATGACAGACACGTATCAACGTTCTTGTCCCAGGTTTTTGTGAAGTGATTGTGAGTAGTGTTTATTGGCACCGTGGCGCTTGGTAGGCTTGCTCTGAACATGTCAGGAGTGTTGGCATCCTCCATGGCTATTGCCATGAAGTATTCTGCGCATGTTTGCATGCGCTGTTTTGAGGTTCATGTTGCTTACGTCTCTGAATCGGGAACCCAGTGCATCATTTCGAGAGGCGACTCGTGCTGCCTGAGGATCGCAGGGAGCAGGACCTGCTTCTAAAGCAATGAATCGAACGACTGAAGCTGATAAGCAATATAGTCATATTGTCATCTAGTAGCATAGTGATATAGTTGTATAGTGGTACAGTAGTGTAGTAGTAGGGTATTATAGTATTACAGTCGTACAGTAGTATAGTATAGAAAGAGGTGGAACCTTAAGAAGTGTAGAGAGACATCTGGACCTTTAGCATTACTACCGCGAAATTACACTGAAGATTTTACAAAGCGATGTCGGGCCTTGACCATCATTATATACTTAGAACATGGTCTTGAGATGTATCATACTTTGGCGACATAACTTGAATAATCAAAAGGGGGACAATTGCAACGATGCAGGCTTCTACATCACAGACCTTATAACCCACTACATAAGCTTCCATTTCATTTGTCCATTTCATTCTACGTTTGCCTAGTCCACTACACTTCTTCTGTAGGTTCGTTTTTGCAGTGATAGAAGATCTACTATACTTTAGCTGCAATCACACTGTAAAGAGGACCTGCTGCCAGCGCGGCGTGTGGCTTGGGACGATTTGGGATTTCCACAACATGTGTTGGGGAGTCCGTATGATAAGGAAAATGTTACCTTGGGTTGTATAAGGGGGCCCGCTTTTTTCTTTCGACATGCGCAGTACTGGTCCGGCTTGGGATCTTTAGGCAGTGGCTAATTGAGAACCATGGGGACATTACCAGTAATGATTGGGTCACACTCAAGCTTGCCGCCTGCCATTTGAGGCGCAGCTGCAGCGGCATGTTCACAAACTTGCAGGGTGCTTAGTCTGCGGGTTTCCCTGCATGTTGCGCTTGCTGAGCTGTTGCCTACGCTCAGGTGGGCACTTTCGGTCCTCGACTGGGCGATCTATATTATGAGAAAGACGTAGCCACAGTCTCAGACTGCTAGCTGCGCACAAGGTGGGGTTTAGGCTTCATCCTTGTGAAAGTCGTGGATGCAAAAGATGGATGGCTCAGGACTGGACCAAGCACATGAGTGCCTTGGTGGCAATTTGGGGTAGTACTATCAACTTCCCTTGTTGATGAACGAGGTGATCTGGTGAGGAAGAGTATCGGGGGCCTGGACAGTACAACCCAGGTGAGCTATATAGTATGCTATAGTCTGCATTCCTTAAAAGAGGTTACATAGGAGATTATATAGGGACTACTATAGACTAAAGGGGTTACGGAGAGGGATATTAGGAGTATAGACAATGGCTCAGGTGATTATGCCAGAGATGACGGCAGTCGCAGTCCAAAGAGAAAGCCCTCAGACCAAAATACATTGAAGGCCGCGGATGATGCTGCTGGTGGTGGTTGTGCTGGGATTGGTGGTTTTGCTGCTACGAGCTGATATGACACTGAAGACGATGACTCTTTTTTACTCTTACTATAACTAGTAATGGATTATTATTTTTGCCAGTATTGGTAGCATTGCCATTTTGAACAGATGCCTGTCTGCCCATGTTTCTGCAGGCTCGTCTGCCATCACGAAGCGACGCCACCGCGGATGAGCCGCACGCACCGTCGCCCGAGTGAAGCCATTGTGCGGCGTCAGGACAGCGTTTACAAACCTTGCTTCATGCACAACAAGAATGGGTCCCAGAATTGCAGCTATTGCTCAGGACAGGGCATGACAAGCCGCCACATTACAGCCACTCGGGCATGTTGGAATAGTACTGTTGCGGCCTCAGCCACTAGGGCCAACGGTGTCACTGAGGTGGTGCATGCGCCCGCTCCACCTGCGCGTGTTTCACTTATGTGAATCGTTTTGCCAAGTTTCCGCAGTTCACAGTTGCGATTACTACTCTTAGGAACCCTGGAGTTATATGCTTAACCCCCATAACAACTCTATATCAACCCTACACCGTTGTTTTTTTTTTTCTCCCTTGGCATCCCCAGGGTCCCTCAAAGAGGTGCTGCAGGCCCTTTGCCGGGCATTGCAGACGCTCGCATAGGGGTTTGCCATATACGACCATACATACGGAAAGATATGCACGTCTAGGGTATGTAGGGTTTAGGAGTTTGGGTTCAGAGTTTTGGGGTTTATGGAATCTAAGTCAGAGATTTCGTTGTCTGTTGTATGTGTGTTAGGTGCCCAAAGTTGGCGCAATAGTAGTTTCCATTTTCTTTTCGATTATCCCTATATAACCCCCTATATAACCCCAAAATAGACCCTATTAGCATATAGTAGTTTCCATTTGATTTTACATTATCCCGTGTTCCTTGTTGCAGTTTCTGGATGGTCACCATCCCCCGATTGCCCATTGCTGTGTAGTGACCTTGGTTCATGACAGGCCACAGAGGAGTGTAGATTAGGGTTTGGGATTTGCAGGGGCCTGCTCAAGTCGGTTTTGTAAGGTCCTGGTGCTCGGTTGCCTGCTGCAAGATGGGTCCTCGTACGGTTGGCAAACCTTCCAGCGTTTGTTTTAAAATGGGGCTGGTGAATGTGCTACGTCGATGGAGGCGCATTGTCCATGCAATTCCTATGTCCTAGGCAGCACCACGTTATCATGCCTGTGTAAATGTTACTTGTTATTTAGCCCCGTCATTATTCCTAGACCTACCTGCTGCCCCTTTAGAGCATAGTGCCTGCAGTTGAAGCCATAGACGGACGATCCTGTCAAGATGTCAGGATATGTCCAATTTTAAGTCGTCTTTCTGGTGCTTACCCAGCCATGAGGAGAGATGGATCCGAGACCTGAAAGAAACCCCTATACCCCAATAATGGAGAATCAAATGGAAAAGAAAATGGAAAATGAAATGGAAACCCTAGGTCCCTTTAAGGGGGTATATAGGGATATTAGCCCCTATAATGGAGAATCAAATGGAAAAGAAAATGGAAAATGAAATGGAAACTGGGGTTATATAGGGGTTAGATTGGGTAGAATAATCCCCAAGAGATCTCCCTCAAACCAGCAGCCTTGCCATCCTCCTTGTCAGATCCTAACAGCTAAACTCAGAACTCGCATATCCTAATGGTTGGTAGTGGGGATCTGACGAGGGAAAACGAAGAAAGGATTTTAGTTACGATTTAAGCTCTGAGGGTAGAATACGGCTGGTTGCCAGCAGGGAATGGAAGAACGTATCCCTAGTGTACTGTAGGGGCCTAAATAATTACCAACATTGTGGTTCCATATTCCTTGCATAATTCTAGTATATGGTAACTCAAATGGAGCTCAAAATGATATTGGTAATTATTTAGGCCCCTTAGATAGCCATAATGTTTAATAAGTACGATGGTAGTTTCCATTCCCGTTTCCATCTTTCCTTCCCTACTAATAACCAGCAAGTTGATGCTAAGTCCTAAACTGCACATCTCCCTATAAAACCTCCAGGTTCCATGTAGTTTATCAGCTTATCGTTTGATTTTGGATTCCATTCCCTGCCGTACACTAACCCTACACCATAGTTTGCGTGTACCTTTCCATGTTCTTGTCCATGTGACTGCGTCATGGGGAAGTATATTCCGGGTTGTCAGTCCCTACCATCGACCCTGCACCCGCAAATCCCAGACCCCAAATACTAGTTTCCGTTGTCTTTTCCAATCCTTTGTTCCGTACTAACAACCCTGAACCGTTCCCCCAGTCCCTCCCAAGCACCAGGGAGTCGCGTGTAGCAGGGAGCGGCAGCGGACAGTGGTTGCACCTCCAGATCTGTTCTCTGGAGCAGAGCAGAAAGAAAGCATAGGTTGCTGCCTTGGTGGTATGTTTCGTAAGGCGGAGGCCTGAGCCATCAGTAGAATAGTTTGTTAAGATCATTTCTGAGATTCACTGACAGCCCATTCCAATTTTCATTTGGGCCCAGCATTGTGTTTAGCCCGCTTCCGTGTCTGGCCATCATCATGCATTCCTGCCATATCCTATGTTATCCACCCAAGAAAGTAGATATTCCCATTTTGTTTTCCAGTCCTTCATTCAAACCCTAAAGCCTAAATCCTAAACCCTAAACCAACATCCCCGCACGTTCTGGGCAGGCGCCCTCATCGGAGCGCATGAGGACGCAGGTGCTGTACGGCACCTTCGCAGTGGCCTGCTTGCTCCTTGCCTGTGGATGGTAGCTTTTTTGCGTTTTTGCGGCTGGCTAGATCTGATCAACGCATATGGCATTTCCAAAAAATGGGGTCCACTTGAAAAACACAACCCCAAAAAAGAACATTGCAATTTCAGCTGTAAGGACTGTCGAAAACAGACCCCTAGTTTTCTGAGCTCGCATGCTGAAGACCTGCTTGAACGCTAAGGCTAGTGTATTACAAGCTCGAGGCAGGACTGGCAATTTACACGAAGTTTCTCCTGCTATCAATTGCTGCTGCTATTATTATTGCTACTACTAATGTTGCTACGACTACTACCTCTGCCACGACTACTACGTCTACGACGACGACAACGTCGACGACGACGACTACTACTATTGTTTCTGGTATTCCCAGTGCTACTATTTTTTCATGTGCTCGTAGTACTCTTACTTGTTTTGCAACAGTTGGTGCCAGTGCTAGCGAGACAATCCGCAAACTTAGCTACTTGCCAGGCACCTGCCAATGCCGCCTATGATTCTTGGTTGCAAGTGATCAGTGATGAGATTAAACTCGTACTCAAAGAGGCTTGTACCATCAAGCCTAAACCCTTTACCCTCAGCCCCTGTCAGCTTTATCCTCTTAAAGCCAAGGACTACTGGCTCACGCTGGCGGCAGGTTTACAAGTGCTCGGCTTCACTATGCTTGCCCTCGACACCAGCAGTAGCGCGGCAGAGGCATCTTCATGAAAGCGCTGCAGCAGAATCCTTGTCACTGTTGTTGTAACCACGATCGTTAGCATGTAGTATGTTGATATCATTGCGGGTGATGCTGCAGCAAAGTTGCTTGTCATGACTCCAGCTGCAGGGCCTGAGTGAGAAGACGCTCTGGGCACGGCACTTTGCAGTTGACCTTCTTCACACCAAACTGGTCACTGATTGAATTGCGCTAAGGCTTTCGTCGTTGCCCACGTCACGCGCATTTCTACGACAGTGTGGGGTGAAGGCTACATTCCAGAGGCAGCCTTTCGCACAAAAAAACCACTTCTACAGACTTGCCGGATTTGCAAATGCGTGTGCAGGACAACACTGGCGATGTCTTCTTGTATCAGGGCTTGGAATTGCTTGGAGTGCTTGTCGTCGTGTTCCAGGCCCGCACACGCAGGGTTCGGATCCCTTGCGCATCTTCAGGCATGCTCCGCCAGCCAGTAGGTGAATGAGTCTGGACATGTGAGTTTCTCAAAACTACCCTTCCTGAATCCTGAGTAGGACCCCCTAAATCTCCTTATTCATAATCCCCAACGTCTCTCTTAGGCTCTTCAAGGGCCACCCTTTATTTTGCGGATCCCCCACGGGCCACTTGACAGGTGCTGCGCCTTTCGGCCGTTCGCAGCTCGCAGGATGTGGGTCAAGGAATCGAGCGATGGAGCCAACTTATTGCCATGAGCAGCGTGGCATCAAGTTTACAGTTTAGGGTTTTTTGGCTAGGCACAAGTAAGCATCGCTTGGGGGTTGGGGGGGCTGTTGGAATAGCCTCAAGTATATGCAAGAAGGGGCATACCGGATGCCCATTCTTCTGGACCGATTTTCCGCGAACCTGGTGAATGCGAGCATACTTGCAAGTTCGTCATACCCTGTGTTAGAAGACCGTGGCTTGTGACCTTGCTGCTTTTAGTTGGAAATTTGGTAGTTTCCCAAAATGAGGGGACCCCAATGTAGACCCCCAAATATTATAATCCTTATTATGGGGACCCCTAAGAAGGTACCCTACTTCTGGGAAACCCCCATTTGAAGTTTGTGCTCAGGTGTCTTGGCGGCTGTGCTAGCGCAGCTTAGATGCATGCATTCAGTCTACTTGCTTCTGCCAGCAACAATTGCCTGTGTCAAAGGTACTTTACGAAGAGCACTGGCCATGACGATTACTGGGCAGACTTGAGTGGCTGACTTTGCAAGAAGTGCAGGTTTCCAAAGTCAACTAAGAGGCAATCCCGAATGGTGGTTAACCTGACTCTTTGTTGTTGTAGGGGCACCTATTCATGAGCAACTCAACCTAGGAAGTACATCACAGTTCAACAACCTCGAACCTCACTTCCAACACCTCCCGCACGCCAGGTATCTAGTCTTTCTCTATAACGAATTAGACTCATTTGGCCCTGCTTGGGTCTACCATATACGATAAAATACCATAGTATACCATATGATTCGATCCTTATAGCTTGATTGCAGCCTCATGCCTCTGCCGGCCAAGCCATTGCAAAAAAACGTGCTTCTGTTCTCAGAATCCTCTACGTCATATGGGTAGTTCCCAAAATTACGGTCCCATTTTGGTACCTATAACCAAAAGGCGGGCCTATACTGTTGAGAACAACCCAGATGAGCAATAAAGTGCAACAACGTCTGTTCCTGGTGATGTAATTCCTTCAGGAAGTTACTTGTGTTATAGGACCTACATGCAGCAATGTCCCCGGAATCAGTTTCCATTTTCTTGTCCATTCGATTCTTCATTCCTGTGGGACTGCCCCATCCCCTACATTTGGGCCTCTATACCTCTACATATAAGGCTTTTAAACTCACACGCACAGATGTATATATATATATACATATATGTAGCTATCCCCATAAATGCCTACATAACCAAAAACCCTCAACCGCGTATTGCCGCTTTTCTTGGACCGAGGCTGGATGTTTTCCACATGGATGGAAGCCTTCGCTCTTGGGCCTCAGGTTGGGACCACCCAAACTCAGACTCTTCAGGGTTTAGGGTTTTGGGGTGTAAGGCTTCTGGCTTAGGGTCAACGTTTATGGCTGAAGGTCTAGGGCTCGAGGCTTGAGGATGGAGGAAATCCTTACAAAGCTTATACCCACCCCCCCACGCAAATTGCAGTATATTGAGATGCAAGATATCCCCCATCCACTGTTGGGGGGCATGCGGAAAGCGCAACCCCCAAAAGCGGCCTTGCTGGTAGCATTCTTGCTTATGCAATTTTAGAGTACGACATTTATAGTGAGTGTTTAGATAAGATACGTGGTTGTTACTGTCAATATGATTTGTCCTCTTGTCAGAAGTTGGGAGGTATGTAGGTGTTCTGTTTTTTGGGATCCTTCTGGGGGCAATCTGGGAGTTAAGTGCTGTGGTTACTCTTTAGTGGCCATGTTCCTATGTCCAGGTCTTCAAACCCTAAAGCTTGAACCTGAAGTTAGGATTGTCGCTGTGGAGTTTCAGACAAATGGGAGGCCCCCAAAGTAGATCTTAAGCAAGCACGGAATGTCGCAGATGATCTCGAAAGGAATTTGGTGAAGCACTTTCTGAACATACCTTGAACCACAGAGGGTTCTTGAGGTGTCTTTCTTAAGGAGTTTGGGGCACCCTAGGACGCCTAAATACCCCCCATGTCTGACTTAAGGGTCCGAAAGCTGTAGCTCGCCAAAATCGTAGGATAGTTTTAGGTGCCTAGTTTTGGGGGGTGAGGTTGCCACGCCTGCTGATTTACTTTTCCTCGTGGCGGGGGTTCATTTCCTGGATGGCTTCGGAAATTCATGCATATTGGGGGGCCCTGATTGCTCCAAATAAGGCTGTAGCTTAGCAATCCCAAAACCAGTGGATCAAGGACTCTAAGTTGTACCCTTGAGGTTTGTGCCTCTAGATTTGGGTGACTAAATGCCTCAATTGAGGGCTGCATTCCATGGTTCAGAGATCGAAGCCCGAACGTACACACCCTAAAGGTACAATGGACAGTTCCTAAACCATAAACCGTAAACATTGAACCCTAAGCCCTAAACCCTAAACCCTAAACCGAGTGGAGCTTTGCCAGGTGTACTTGCTGGTTACTGGTGCCTGTGCGGTGGACGAAAGTGCCGCGCACTTTGCAGGCCTTACGCGCCTTGCCTTTTTCAAAGGGTTTTGATTTGAGTATTTGAGCAATGGTCTAAACTCCTTAAGGGTGCGTTATGTAGGGGATTACATAGGGGAGTATTACAGGGGTTATTAAGGGGGATACCAGTAGTGTAGAGTATGGCTCATTTAGGGGTTTAGAGTTGGGGTTTAGGGGTTCTCAAAGCGAAAAGTTGAGGGGTTCAGGATTTGGAGTTTCAGGGTTTAGGGGTTCCGGGTAAGTACTTGACAAACCAAGCGGCAGTTTCAAGGAATGTTGGGCCGGCAGAGTGCCTGGAACAGCTACCCCCCTAAACCAAAACCCCAAACCTGTGAACTCTATGCTAAACATGTTGCCCATACATAGGGTTTGAAAGTCTCCGTATGCACCGCCTTGACAAGGGGGATTCTCCACAAGGGGGGCCATTAAGTATTCTGGAGACATAATATGGGGATTACGAGCGGGTTATGGGTGTCCCTCTTCATGTATAGGGACAGTTTTGAGCCACTCCCATATTTTAAAGGGACCATTGGGGAACCCCAAGAACATAGTAGGAATATCATGGGAATATGTGGACCCTGGTATACCTATGATATTCCTACTATATTCTGCGTGTTTCCATATGGTCCCATATTTGCTCCCTAACCTTAAACCCTGAAGCCTACACCCCAAACCTTCATGCAGCCAAGGCTTGCCAGTTCAGTAGTCTTCACCGCCTTCTGGGGCAGAGTGACTCGTGACCGCCCCATGGCTACTAAAAGGGGTTCCCTTCAAGCAGGGGGTACTTTTTTGAGGGGGCCCCATACTAAGGATTATAGTATTTTTGGGATCTAAATCGGGCCCCCGCTATTTTGCTCAAGGCGCACGGTCGCTTCACAATGTCAATCGCTGCACGGGTCCAGAGTGGCTGGTGCGATTCTTTAAAAGTAAGTTTCTATTTCACAAAGACATAAACATGCGAATGCGTGTTGCAGCTGCTAGTCCCCGCTGCGATGTTGACATCATCCTTAGTACCGATGGCAGTATGCGATTCGCTTCTGCTCATGTTCATCGGAATGCTCTGTCGGTTTCGACTCATGCATGGTTCTTGAGCAGCTGGGACTTGAGCTGAGGATACAGAGAGTTCGATCAAGATGGTGACCACACGCAACTTACCTGCACTCAGTAGTATCTGGGAGTCAGTGGAAATTGGTCCCCCAGATGGGGTCCTTACAAGCGCGATTCCCATGTTTAGGATGTGTAGACTCATGGAGTTTGCCCCCCAACAGGCCTGCGTATGCGTCTGCAATAGACATGTGGAAGTGTTGTCCTTCGGGGATCTGCAGCTTGCTGAAGTCGGAATAGACAGAACAGGCAAATTGTACATGATCTGTTGAGATTACTCAAACTTTGTGCTAGACGACTGCAACTGCAAGCATTTTGTCTGAGCCAAGGTTCTTCCACGCAATTCTGACAGCGTGCTTCATACGGGTGGCACTGTTCTGCGCTCGGCAGACAACTAAAGCCACCAGTCGAGACCAGCAGAATGCAAACGCCTGCAGGTGCGCAACCTATGTGTATCTCTTTACCAAGCAGCCCCGCCCTTAGCCATACGCCTTACACTGCATTGCCGCAGACTGCTGCACTGAAAGACACAACTGCAGTGGTGCAGCACATCTTCCGTGCGCATTTGCTGCTGGCACAGGACCAAGAAGAGACCGGACTATGAGCTCTGTGCAGCTGACGAGCTCTAGCTCCTGAGTCGACTGTGGCAACTGGTGGCCAGCGTTCCGGATGTGACCTTAATGACTTGAGCCAGCAGTGCCGATGATGGCACGCAGGGTCTGGGTCAACTCTCAGGCCATGCCCATAGTAGCCCAGTTAGGCTTAGCAACCGGCGAGCGAAAACAGAACTCACCGTAGCTGAGGAGTGGCCATGTCTGTACTCGAGAAAGACTCCTTTATTAGACACAGGTTTGCTTCACATGCTGGGCAGGCGTACCTCCTCCGTCCGTGCGTAAGTGCAGTGAAAGCATGCATTGACCGGGATTGCCACTGGCTAAAGACCGAGTCGAAGGAGCGTGCGTTAGAAGCTTCTCGGCAGAAAAGACCAGCTGGTCGGGTGTCTTGCACTTGCGCCATGCAGGTGAATTTCCGTTTCTGCTTCGTTGTTCCAGCTCAATTCAAGAACACCACGTTGCCTCCTGCTGCCAGGATTGAGCGCTTCTGTACGGCGGACGTGGTGGAGACGCAGCACTTCCACAGGTTGTCGACGGCTTAGCCCAGAGCAGCGCATGACATAATGACAACCAAGCAGCTGTCCCTATCCAATAAGGTCCGTTTGACCATGTACACGCTGCATTCAGTTTTCACGTCATTTTTTGTCAACTTGGTCAGTTTCGTCGACCGTGCGCTCGCTCCTGTCTCGCGGACCTCGCATCCGCTTGTGCAAGCAAGGTGCTGCCAGAAGCAGGACAGAAACGGGACGATGTGTCTTCTGGCAGCTGTCAGGTTCTTGAAGAACCTCTTTGCTTTGCCGAGTTCATACAGGCCGCACCCCAAAGGATGCCACGGCCAGACTTCGCATTTGTGCTCAACATCTGGTTGCACTCCGACGAGCTCAGTCAGCATCAGCCGCTCCCATTGCGCATCGGAGGGAGCTTCTGTCTCCTCTTGCGTATGACGCTCCCATTGCTAGTGGTGGCTCGTGTCAATTCATGCGCAGACTATCTGTGAAGCTTGGTCTTGTGCTGTGGTACTACTGCACGCAGCGACGTGGTGCCACTTGCGCAACTAGTATTAAGCATATCTGCACCAACATTCAGGAAGTTTTCGCAATTCCAAAGCTCGCCACCAATTTCCATAACACTTTAATGCCTCTTGCATTCAGTGCTGCTCTTGGCTTGCTTTTCTTGCTGGCGGTCAGGAGCAAGTGGAGGAATGGACCCCTAGAGTCTACGCTATACACCTCCCCGAAACCAGAAGCCCTAAGTCCCAACCACCAGTAATTTTCTGGGTTGCTGTTAAGGAACTCAAGTTAAGTTACCATAATGTATATATATGTGTATATGTATATTTAGTAAATAATAGGTTTCCGCAATCCATTTACTTGAATTAAGTTCCTTAACAGCAACCCAGATTTTTTGGAATGCTGCGACTGACGAGGCCTGCGGGCATCAGCGTGGAGAACGTTCAGTGGGTCACGGGCAGCCTGTAACCTAGCAGGGAGGTTGTCAAAATGGTGGTATCCGTTTTGGGGGTCATGTATTTGGGGTTTCAAAAGAGGGGGCTCCCATAATACAAAGGCGGGTTATAGCATTGTGGAGGGGATGAAGGGGACCCCCAATGTTCCAATGTTCTGAAAAGATGTTCAGAAGCCATGTCATGACTCCAGCTATCCTCATCATTAGCCTCAAAATATCTCTATGACCCACCGGTGAGGACAGGGTTCCATATACTCAAGAGCTAGCCACCACTTAGCCTCCCCCAAATACAAGAAGCCTGCTCATAGAAAACCCATAGGGCATTCCTAATTTTCTTGGACGTCCCCACTCCTCCACTGACTGGAGGCCAGCTGGGAACAAGGGAATATTATCCCTATAATATGTTCTCTTACCCCCTTAAGTAGATAGAATATGGCTCTGGGTATACTATATAAGATCCCAATATACCCCATATTCCATCTACTTAAGGGGGACTAGAAACCCGAAACCCTGTACCCTAAACCCTGAACCCATAGTATAGTAAGTCCAAAAAAACAGGGTAGCGGCTTCAGACCCTGGACAGTGCCGAGGTGAGCTATCTTAAACTGGGTTGCTGTTAAGGAATTTAAATTAAGTTACCATAATGGGTTTAGGGTTTAGGGTTTAGTGTTTAGTGTTTAGGGTTTAGGGTTACCATAATGGGTATATATAGTAAATAATAGAGTTTCCCCAATATAGTAACTTAATTTAAGTTCCTTAACAGCAACCCAGTAAAGGGGCTTACAATGGGTTTAAGGTTTAG